TGCTTCTGCATGCTCCGTTCGTTTTTCACATGACCGAGCTGCCTGTTCTTGAGATACCGCTTTGCGCGTAGCGTCTCCCTAATGTCACCCTTTCATGCTGTCGCTGCTGCATACCACAAAATGGGTGGCCATTCCGTTCTCTTTCGTATTTGGCCTTCTGTCTTCCAACTCAACAGGACCTGTTCCCGTTCGACCTTCGCAACCACGTGGCGAACACAGGCCGGGAGGGAACTGCCAATGGCTAGTATTTCGGCAAATGCTTTTTGGATTCCTGTTGCAGTGCATTTCAATTCAGTCACCACCTACGTCGCCCCCCGCTCACGAGTATGACACAGCGGAGTATTTCTTCTTTTGATGCCGGCACTCAGTTGAGAGTTTCATTCCAACTTGATCCCAGTCGGAGCGCATGACCCTGGCTTCCGTTGACTTGGAGTCCTCATGCCGCCTTGACTTGATTAGGCCGCCACGGAATCCTCCCAACCAACAGCTCAACACACCAGAGTAATACACTGCTATTGGCTGCTGTCACTATGGTCATCATACTTGGGTCTATGCGTTCATCCCCATGGATGCCTTTATGCTCACACACCAAAATCGGGCGGCAGGCAAATGACGATGGATGGTCTAGTGGATCTCCGGAAGCTTCCAACCTTCAGACAGAGTCTGCTGATTAGATGAAGCAGCCCTTTCCGCATGGGCTTGCCTCACTCATCATGCATTTGTATTGTTGTATCTCAGTAGATCTATTTCGGGGGCCGTCTTCAGAACTTTGAAGTAACATAAACTCAAGGTGTGGTTTTGGGGGCTTCGGCATCTGGACCGCTCTTCCATCCAGGGGAAAGATGCTCCACAGGCTGTATCCTTACCTTTCTATCGATGGAGATGAAGCTCCTCTAGACCGTACTAAGGTCCAGCTACCAAGCAACTGTGTCACAAGTCTGCAAAGTGTTCCCTAGTTAAGCCTCGGTGTCTGAGAGTAAGCGCTCTTGAGGTTTGTTGCCCGCTTTCTCTTATACTTCAAGGACGAGGAATGGCTCTGACATTTGTTTTTACCCAGCTTCTCGGAACCAACATGGTACTCGGCCTTCCTAGCGAAATGCTCGGGGAGTTCCACCTTAGCGGCTGCTGCACATCGTGTGGAACTGCAGGAAAAGATCTCCTCTTTCCGGGGCAAAAGTCCCTCCTGTGACCCGCCACTCCGCTGATCATGGAGGATCCTACCATGTTTCTACCGCTCATTTCACGATCAGGACGGCACTATAGCTGACAAAATTGCAGACGGGCGTTCAAAAGTTTAACGAGCAATATTGCAAGAGGGGTTACCATGTTCTCCGGGCCGCTTACGAGCCGTGAGCATCACAGCGAGCGATGCTTGTCGATAGTACCCGGACGGCCAGACCCGTGGTTACCTGAGCATTACAACGTCAGGCTAGCCCATTCAGTCTCTGGTCCAGCTTCTGTTGGACTGCGTACTAGCTCTCCTTTCGACCTTGTCCCGCCCGCACGGGATGAGAGGACTGTTGCATACGGCACACTCGGGCCTGCGAACATGACGTCTATCGAAACAATGCTACTGCTCATGCAGCCTTTTCCACCCCCGACTGTTTACCCTAGCTGCCTACGGCACTTAATTTCAAGCTTGACAGCTAAGTTCAAGATTTGGGTCGGAGGAAAGGAGATATTGTATAGTGCCCACACGTGCCGGACGAACTTTGTTCAAGCATTCGGGAGCTGTCAGGATGCAAGTGATTCTATCAGGACAACACAGACCCCGAAACTACTCTCGACGGAGGGCTTTCCCCTCTATAGAAGAGGTATTTGGGGGTTTGCGTTATAGTTTGACACACAAAACCAACCACTTCAAATGTTTGGTACGACCAGCACATCGAGGTTGCAGCGGCTCCACTGCAGTTGTGCATGGCAAGAGTGAAAGCAGCTAACCTCTTTGGAGGTAAAACTGCGGCCATCGTGCTTGTACTCAACAGGTGATGAGTGGCTTGTTGCCCAAGGCAGCCACTTAGAGGCCGTAGATCTGCAAACAACCTTAGGTCTAGGTGGTAATGGATGAAGGGAGCACTCGATCCTTTGGGCTCTCGGAGCGTAACCAGCTTACGGGCTAGAGCAGCATGAACACACATATTGACGATTGGATCAAGGTTTGAGCCAATCTTGTATGGCGCTGCCACCTTAGGTTTACCTTTTCTCATATTGAATGCTCTGAGGTTTTTACTGAGAGAAAGGCGGAGAATTTCAGGTCTCTGGAGCGGAACTCTGGGAGGCTAGGTTGAAAGAAGTCTGTCGGGACACCGTTACTTGGCTGAGTACAGGCTCGCTTCCGTCGGTCATGGTGCCCCTCTTTTGAGTCTTCCTCCCGCTGAGCCGCGGTCTTTGCATCCGTCGGGGCGAGCTACCCAGATGTCACCTTATAGAGCTCACTTCTATAGTCCCCCTCGACGTCGGATTCTGTTCCAACCGCTCCGTGGAGTGTGAGCTAGTAATCTCTACTGATCGGCAGGTAGTCAGGAGTCGCAATCATCCGTTAAGCTTGCCTTGCGGCTCGATGTTTACGCCAATCCTTGACGTCCTAGTGCAACCCATCTTGATCACCTGAGAGAGGCGCAGCTCCCGCGGGTCTGTTCTGCTCCTCATGGGATGGGCAACAGTGAGTGTCGCGAGGATCACCTCCTTCTGTAGGCATACGGCGTCCCAAAATATACTGTCCCTGTTTTCCATGACACAAATCCTTCATATTGGGTATGCAAATTGTCTGCTGATGCTTCCGCATGGCTCCCAGAGCCAGCAAGGAAGCCCTCCCTCCGCTCCGATCGTTTCCAGATACAGCCAAGCTACGCCCAGGAATAAAACCTCCCCTCGCTCAAGAGCTGAGGGTCTACGCCGATCTTCCTTAGTTGTCTGGAACTGCTGTCAAGCCCCTTTTCAGTGTTTCCGTGGGCGTCCAAAGTCTGGATCTGGGGGCCTGACGATGTCACCCCCGCATTGGTCAGTGTGGCCGTGTCCCACCCCATGATGGAGTCCCTTCTATGGTAGCACAACATTATGCGGGTGTCTAAATCTTAGGCTTGTGATGTAAGGTACTGTACAGTGACAACAGGGATCAGCTATTATCGCAATCTACCGGGGAAGCTCTAAGCAGGCTCTGCAGGAAAGGTGTATCGCTTGGTACGGTTGGGCGTTGTCGGAGACTTTCCTGACAACCTTAGCGTCATCCAAAAGCCTTTCTGGCTTTCTGTTGCGACCTTGGTCAGTCTATAGTGGTATTATATTGCCATCTCTACGGTGTCAACTCTGAGTATGAACATTGTGTGCTTCTCAATACGGCAACTTCATGTTGTTAACATGGGTTGGAGTATTAAACACTACACTCCCGCATGATATCCCACACTTTTATTTGCTTCAGGTGGATGGTGGATTTAAGACCATCCCTTCTTCTTGACTTAGGCACCATAACCCAACTATATTCCGTATCATGGCGGTGCTTGGCTTCCGAAGTTCGTTTAGCTGCCTCATCACATGTATCTACAACGTTGCATCGTTGTTTGCGGAGGTAATTATGGTTTCTCAAGTCCGCAGTGACACAGGTAAGGTTTCCACTTTCCGCCGCGACATAGGCGCGATCAAAGTATCGTGCCGTCGTCGGCAAATCACAACTACCTAGTACTAAGGCTGGCATCAGAAAACCGAAGATGGTGGGATGTTGAGCTGAGAACTTGCCGGCTGTGTCAGGAAACACGGTACTCTCTTGGCCACTGTGATGGCGCTTACTACGTCTGCCTAGTTATGTAACGGTATGAGTTGCCCGGCTTTGAATGCATATCTTGGCTATCCGTCAGTCGATGGCGAAGCGATTGAGACCATCGAGAAATCTATATTATACTACTTCCAGTCGGCCAGAATGCAAATCTAGCTAACCAAGAGCCTGTTGACGAGTGAAAAAGCTAAACTACGCTTATAGCATGATGATGAATCCAACTTGATGGAACAGAGTGTTCTAAGGGAAACAGTCCACACAAGCATTTAGGATGTACTTGAACCTATAAACAACACTTTTCACACTTAATAGACAGTATGTCGTCTACTTGTGTTATAACTGTGTTGTTCTTTAAGCCAGGAAGTTCAGATAGGGTCACGCCATACATTGTCAGAAAGATGAGACAGAACGATTCAATTGAGTGCGCCGGGTCTATATTCGTAAAGCAACGATTCATCTTTGAATTTAACTTCAGCAAGTATTTGAGAAACCAAAGAGCAATAGACCTAGACACCTCTAGTATGGAACTCGAGGTGTGGTTAGTTGATAAAGACAGTTGACGTTGCCACGTGGAGCTTGTCAAACTCTAAGTTGCTAACCAATCTTCTTTCAACCACAGAGGCCGGCAGTGTTCATACGATGTAGGAAGGTCTGTGTATATGTTGAACTCGTCACGCACGATGTTGACTTACTGTGGAGAGTCTCTCAGAGCAGTTCAGTTTCCATTCTCTTCCATAAGCAGACATTATAAATGATAGGACATAAACACTTTAACTTTCGCCGCGTCTCGCTTCTAAAATTGAATGGGATAATCATCAGACATATTCAGTCTTACGTAAATTGAAAACAGCCTCTTTATTCGCCTTTCCCAGACCAGTTGTCAAAGTAATTATTCCATAAGCAAGTACAATCCCACTAGAGCTGAGCACCGATGATGTTGCAATTTGTATTGATTTCATTGATTTTGAACCCCTGCAAGCAACAAACTGATACCTGATGCAGAGAAAAGTCAACTAAAACGCTTGAGAGTTTTGATCCTCAAGATGTTTTCTTGTTCCCCAGTGAATGCCTGTCTGATGCGGGACGGTTCTTTAACAGGCGTTTTCGAAGATTGATTCCCATCATCGTATACCCTGTTTTCCAAATGTACCTTGAATCAAGAACATCCCATGAGGTTTACGTGTTGTGAAACCAGACTTCAGTCATTGATGCCTCGGGACCGCTATTCCCTTCAGTTAGGCGCCGCACCACACCTAGCACTCTTCCATAGATACCCAGCTGAGCTCCTCGCCGCAAGGCAATCCCCAGAGCCGCTACGGTAATCTGCGTACTTGGTGACTCCTCCGCAGTTGTACCCGTCGTAGAGATAGCAGCCGCCACTAGTCTTCGCTCCGCTTCCCTTCCAAACACTAGCCACGTTGATGCTCTGACTGCTGCCTGGCATGTTGAGCGCGAAACATTCTGCCGCAGCACCGCCATTCACGTACTCGCCCGCGCGGGGTGAGCGCGTCCACCATGCCGCCGTCTCGCTGGTATAGGCCGAACAGCCCGAGTTAGAGTAGAAGTTGATTTGCACCGCTTTTCCCGTTTCGTAGTTGGCAGAGACCGGGTTGGCGAGCTGGAGGACGATTGCTGCGAAGAACGTGGAGGACAATGCGACGTACATCTTGACGGTTATGGTTGAGGGCGGTGAGAAAGGATGGAAGGGCTGAACAAGATCGATGTTGAAGGGAGGACTTCTTCTTAAGCTGTGACAAGTGAGTGACTGAGAACTGGTTTATTGGATTTAGAGTAAACTGAATGTTGTGCCTTATATACAGTATCAATGCTTGAAAAAATGCTATTATCGTGAAAGTATCAGCAAACACTATAGACCCCATCGCCACACTCAGCAACCAGCAACATATGCTGAGGTATTTTGTGAACATGGTAGCCTGATTTGAAACTTAGTAAAAACCACCCTGTACGACCAATGTTTCTAACATTGCCTTCCTATCTCATCGTTTCTAGGCGCCTTGGCGTATTGAATCCAATGCAGTGGCTTATTCAGCGTCTCTCAGCTCCAGCAGTTTCTGCTGTCGGTTAAGCACGACGGGACGGGCCATGCGGATGAGTTGACCCTTTAAGTTAGTAAATACGAGTAATGTCTGTAATTCATCGCGCAGACCACCGCATATGTCTTTAAAGTATCAACAAACCAGTCAGCGCCCAGCAGCGAAGAAATGGACGACTACGATTGTTCAATGACAGTAGGGCAGAACTCAGTCGGTTTCTCGAGTTGCTGACTAAGGTCTTTGATGAGTAACTACTCCGTAACAGCATCCATGACGACCTCACTGCTTCTCATGTGGCATCCTGCTTCAAAACACAAAAACAAACACAAAACAAAAACACAAAACGTAGGAAAACTGGCAACTGGGCAGCGCGGCCAGTTTGTATTGGGGCTTTTCATTCTCTCTCAAGTAGCTATGATATCCTACCACAAGACTGGTTATACTACTAGCACAGACAGTTTGCCTTCAAGTTGTCGAAGTGGGAATTCAGAATAGATGTCATGTCTTTCATGCTCGAAACGGTTATGTAAACTGCACGCTGATGTGAAGTCCGCCCAGATGCTAATCAGTTCATACACACCACTAATTCTCAAGGGCTTCTATTAACACTCTGATACATTCAAACCAAAAAACAGCGTTCTTCTCTTCCATCTCCATCGCAGGGGTATATCAAACAACGCTTAACCGGCAGCATACTGGCTCTTCTTCCTCAATCTCGGCCCAAACTTCCACAGCAACAATGGCCCAGGCCACCCAATCACCACTCCCAACAAAGCAAGCAAGCTGTTACCCCAACCATATTCCAGTTTATTATACAGGCTCGGCGCGAACAGAGGGAACCCGAACCCGGCCAAGCTTCTCAGCACCGTTGCCGCTGCCACCGCGCTCGCGGCGTACTTGGTGTACGTGTCGACTAGGAACCCCTGAATGCACTGGAACCCGATAATTACCCCAGCGCTGAAGATAACCGCGCCAATGTTAGGCCCAATCCAGTGCGTGTGGTACTGCGCCGTCCAGCCGTAGATCAGCAACCCGGTAGGAACCAGTAAGGCGCCGGGGATCATCATCGGCACCCGAAACTCGGGGCGTCCAGGACCGCCGTCAGGAACGTACCGGCGCTTGAGAGCGGCATATATACGGTCCTGCAGCGGCGCGCACGTCTGCGCCCCGATGAAAAAGCCGAGGCCCAGAGAGATGTAGTTCAGTCCACTGATCCCCACGGTTTCGCCGTATTCGCCCGTCCAGAGCGCGGGGAAGGTTGAGAGGACAAGATACATGAGGCCGTATAGGTACATCATGTATAACGCTAAGCACTGAACCAGCGGCTGAGTGCCAAGGAGGCGGAAGGGGCGGGTAAAGGCGATGGTGAGGGTGCGGGCGATGGTACGGTCTGGGTGATCGAAGTCGGTGTGCAAGTCGGTGTTGCCCGTCTCCTTGATGAGGCGTTTCTTTCTTCGAGTGAGGAGGACGGGCGCGAATGTCTCTTGGAGGACAAACACGCCGATGGACTGGATGACCGCAGTGAGGATGGTGGTGCTGTAAAAGATCCAGCGCCATGTCGTGTTTTGCGTGACGAAGCCGCCGGCGATTGGACCGATGGCTGGCCCTAGGAGTGGCATGAGACTATAAAGCGAAATGGCCTTGCCACGCTGCTCGGCTTCGAAAAGGTCTCCAAGAACGCCTCCACCAATAGCGAGAGGTGCGGAGCCACCGAGGCCAGCGAGAAAGCGGAATGCTATGATCTGGCCCTTTGTGCGGGCGAGGCCGCATCCGAGATTGAAAAACATGTAGAAGAGATTCGTGAGTTGAAGAACGATCACGCGACCGTAGAGCTCTGAAAGGGGGCCCCAAGCCAGGGGGCCGATGGCATAGGCGAGGACGAAAATGGAGAGAACAAGAGCCTGCTCGAAGGAGCTGGTAATGTTGAGTTCACTGCCGATGGCCTCCAGGGCGGGGGCGACCATGGACGAGGAAACTGGCGAGAGGAGGGTGAAGCATGATACTGGCGACATTAGTGAGCGTCCTTTTTACAGGCGGGGGAATCAACATACTGCAGAAGACTGCTGCCCACTTCCTCTTCATAGACCATTGTTTCGGGTTTCCGGGGTCGTTGGGTCCATCCCATGTGACCAAGTTGGGGTCCCGTGGAGTTCTGGTGGTTGGTGTCTTTTCCAAGTCTGAAGGAGGGCCGACTTCCAAGTCTCGTCTGTTCTCGATTCCATCTCTGACTTCAGATATCGTCCTGGTGAGGGACCGGGACCTTGTGCTCCTCGTGCTCTGAAGGACGCGCCCACTGTGTCCCGAGCTGCTGTCGCTGTCATCTGAGGAAGTTGAGTGCCGCGGAGAATCCGTCTGTTTTTCCCGGACTTCCTTTTCCGCTGGTCCAGTGATTGCTCTCTCAACCTCATGTCTCAGCGTCGTGCGCTGGGGACTCGTTGGCTGGTCTTCGTGGTAGGAGTCATGTTGAGTCGTGCGAGTTGTATTGTTCGTTTCCGCCATCACCTTATCAGTCTGCAAATGAAGGATACCTCAACGTCTGTCTTTGAGCATGACAAGCCAATCGCCTAGGCGTTGATAGAAAGTAAAAGTATTTCGATCACGTACGGAAGGATAGGCGGCAGTAAGTTTTGGAAAGTAAGGGGAGAAGTATAGATTGAACCCATGCAACTCCAGATAACCGGGAACGATCTCCAATTAAGTAAAAACGAGGAGCAATGGGAAACGGAGGGTACGTAGGAATGAATCATTCCCAACAAAATCTCTTCAAGTGCGCCCCAGCCAGAGTTCCCCAGAAGTGCGGCCCGCCGCACATCGCTACTCCATCGGCCACGCATCCGCGCCTAACACTTCGGGAAGGTAGTCGTTATGCCGATGTCCATGACCAGGAACACTGGCTTACTGTCCAATGACGTCTGCTGACACGGTTAGATGCGACTAAAAGCTGCACAGCAAGACCAGAAACTCGAGCAGACAGAGGTTGCCTTCGGGGTTCCTTGGCCACATGATGCTGTCTGAAGCAGCGCTAGGCGCAGAAATCCCCGAAACTTCGATGGGGCTCAGCTGTTTCCATTGTTATTTTAGGTACCTGAACCCTTCTCCCCGGGAGCATGTGCGGGAATAGCTGGTACGGCAACGATGAAAACGGATGACGTTCTTGGTTACAGCGGACATAAAGAACCACAAACGCCGTGCTGTTTAAGGGCGTATGGCGCAGCAGAGAGAAACTGCGACTGCCGAGTGGCCGGATTTTGCCTCCGTACTCCGTAATTTCGCTTGCCCGTCCCGGCGCCCGGTGCCGAATCGGCAGCCGATCCAGGATCGCCGACGTTCGGATGGCAGCTCCTGTTGGTTCGCTGTGGGTTTGGATGGGGCTGACCATCTCCACACTCTGGCAGTCCTGTAAACTTGTCACAGCGTGCAACCTTTTCGGCCTCAGAATTGTGACGGCAAACATCCTTGCTTGTGTTGCATCTCTGAGAACTCGGCCTTCGCCCGGCAGATTGGGTCGCATACGAGGGGGTGCGGCATTAGAGCTCGATTCCTTCATTATCAAGGGTCAGTGACCCGCGACCCGCGAGATACTACTCGCGCATTGCTGGCATTGCAGTAGCTGGTGCCCTACCAAGCAGGTGTATGCACTTAGTTAGTGCCATTCTCACGCCAATTCAAACGAGTCAAGGGCCAAATGGTTGTTATAAATGGTCAGAAATATCTCGATTGACTAACGTGTGACACAGCAGAGAGCCGTATATCCGCTGATGAATAGGGACAGATGCTTCTCGCAGTTGCGATCTCGCAAGACTCGAGGCACTATCCGAGTAAGGTCACATGCTCATGCTATTCGTAACAACCAGACCTCTAAGCTAGCTATACCTAAAGCCAAGTCCCATGAACGCCGTAGACCGTTTGCCTCGTATTGTCAACGGGCAGGAGAGCCAAAAATTCGAGTCCGATAAAGTTGCTTTTGTAAGTGGTATCTTGTTTCAGAGGAATCCAAGGCACAATGGGTAGACATCCACCACATTAGCCTATGCGGCGACATCCGTCTTGGTGTCGACCTTCTTCGCCTCGGGCTGGGCGGCACCATCGTCCTCGCGGGAGCGCTTGCCGTTGCCGTTCTTGTCTTCGGCGACGACCTCGCCCTTGTCGTTCGTGGCCTGGATCGTAGGCTTGCCACTACAGGATTTGTCAGTCAAACTGCTCGCTCTAGAAACAAAGTTCGATACATACGCGTTGCGGTCGCTCGTAACCTCGTTGGGGTTCTTGCGGTTCTCCTGGTTGTCGCGTCCACCGCGGCGGTCTCCACCACGGCCACGGCCACGGCCACCACGTCCACCGCGGCCGCCCTTGAAGCCGTTCTTCTGGTCGTGGTCGCGGCGCTGCTTCCAGTCGTCCTTGCCGAAGTTGCCTCCACGGCCACCGCGGCCACGACCGCGTCCACCACGGTCGTTGCCCTCCTTGCCCTCAAAGAATCGGCGCGAGGTGTTGGGCTCGAGCTTGCCAGCGTTGATCAGAGCGCTCTTCTCACGAACGTAGTCGATCTTGGGCATGATCTTCAGGTCGTGGTCCTTCCACTTGGGCTTGGGATCGAGAGCGACGAACTTCTGGGCAGCCTCCTCATCGGGGAACTCGACAAAGACGGAGCCCTTGAAGAGCTTCTCGTTGGTGCGGCGGAGGCGGACGGCGTTGATGGGGCCGAATTGGGTGAAGAACGCCTCGAGGTCGAACTGGGTGGAAGGCTCCTCGTCGCCGAAGCCCTTGACGTAGACGCAGCGGGCGTTGTACTTGTCGCTACCAGGGGTGTAGGCCTGCTTACGCTGGATGGTCTCCTCGCCCTCCTCGCCAGCGATGTTGACCTGGGTGCTCTCCTTCAGGGCAGCGACAACAGCGGAGTAGGGCTGGAAGCGGCGCATGCGCTTGAAGTTGGTGATGGTCTTAAGGGGGATGGGCTTGTTCTCGAATCCGCCAGTAAGCTCCCAGAGGTACTTATCATGGGGCAGGTTGCTGTCGGAAAGATAAAATTCGACCTGGAATCGGCCAGGTTAGCCAATGAATCATTCCTAGTTTACACGGACGTAGCGCCTTACCTGCTTGCGGATTTCGACGGGGTCGTCGGTCTCCTTCAAAAGCGAAGCGTCAAACTTCACATTGTTAGAGTGCTGCTTGCTGTCGATCTGAGCGGTTGTCTTGATGATGTTGGCGTCCTTCTTCTCGGATTCGGCAGGCTTGGCCTCAGACTCCTCCTTCTGGACAGTCTCGTCGGCCTTCGCAGGCTCCTCGACCTGGGCGGGCGCATCGACGGCAACAGCCTCGACGGGCTTGGTTTCCTCGGCGGCGCTCATGGTGTAAGGAGTCGAAGTGTGTGGATTGCAGGCGATGAATGTTCTAAACAAAACAACAAGATAATCAATGACAGATTCCTTTTGAAGATAGGTTCCGTTACAATCAACCAGAGATTGTCGCGTGCACAAGGTGAGTAACACGGCGAAGGGGGTAGGACTCGAGGACAAGGTTGGTAGGAATATTGTGTGGCGGGGTAGGCAACCGCTGAGAGTCACAGGGAAAATTGAGTAATTCGGAGAAAGCTTACAGCAAGAAGGACGAGTCAATGCGATTCGGCGACTCTGATACCAAATGGCTTTTTTTCGGGAGTGTCTTGTTGTTCGAGCTTTTGGACACTGCCGGTTGGGAAAATAATAATTCTTTGGTAGTAGTAGCGCGAGAATGGCAGAAAAAAAATGCGGCGGTTCCCCAGCAGTGAGGATTTTGCGACGAGAATTCGCATGCACGAGCGAGAGCTCCAGTTTCTGCCGCAGCGGGCTGCGCGCATTCGATACCACACCGCCCGCAGCTCGTCTCCACTTGGTGAGGTGGGGGACTGAAAAACTCGACCACACAGGTGACGGCAAGCATCGCCAACGCTGCGGGAGGCTGGGTACGTACCGGCATGATCGCAGAGGGACTTGGCCATCTGGTCTGAGCCTCCAGCCTTGAGCTTCAGGGACCTCTCCCTTAGGTAAGCATTTGATCTGGCGAATCAACTGCTGCCGCACGTGACTACGTGACAGCTGCTCCTTTAAGCAAGACGAGGTACGTACCGCCTCATCGGGAATTGCCGTCCCATCGCCAAAATTTCCGTCTCTGCGTCCTATGCTCCCGAAGCTGTCGCCATCCCTCCAGCTCTCAGTACACGACCAAATCACCCCAATTAGCCCAACATGAGAGGTAGAAAGCCAAGGTGGTACAGTTTGACCAAGCCCGTAAGTGACTCTCCATTCATCTTTACAGTTCCAGTGTCAATTGCAACCTCTCCTGGACCCTCTGAGAACATCATGCGACACACGAGCATTTGTCCTCACGGCGTGGGACTACGAACAGAAGCTAACCACCGACCTGCACCGCTAGAAACTCCGGCAGTCATGGAACAAATACAATCTCTTCAACATCGCCAAAGCGAACCTGAGACAAGGTCGCCACGGTAGGACCTTCTTCCAGCAGAAATGGGCCGCCAAGTCCATGACCCGTGGCTACCACGGTGCCCATATCAAGGAGACGGACTGGAACCGCGCCTTCTCCCGCCGCCTCTTCTCCGCCGTAGACATGCCGCCCGAGTACCTTGCCTCCTTCGACGGCTCAGAGCAGGCTGCCGGCCGCGGTTCCGGCTTGCACGCCGAGCCTGGCTCCAAGGACCGCACGCCCACCGCCGACAACTTCTCCCAGTACGAAAAGGAACGACAGCGCCGGGTCCGCGCGCTCAAAGCCTCTGCTGGTCAGGCCAGCCATCCGGCGCAAAGATATATCGGGAGGGACTCAAAGGGCCAGATGCTGGCCCAGCCCATCCACGATATGACGCCCTACATGCAGATGGCCTACGCGCCGCTCGAGAGGAGGCTAGATGTTGCCATCTTCCGCGCCATGTTCGCTAGCAGTACGCTCCAGGCCAAGCAATTTTGCACACACGGCGCCGTCAAGGTCAACGGCAAGCCGGTAAGCTCTCAAACACATTGATGACGTGGTGCGTAAATGACTGATTCCGTCTCTTCCAGATGCGTTACGGTGCCTACAAGCTCAACCCAGGCGACATGTTCCAAGTCGATGTCGACTCCGTCCTCTATGCCACTGGCCGTGCCAAAACCCCCGCCCACGCAAAGTTCCTCGCTGGTGAGGACTGGGAGACCAAGAACGCCGTCAAGGACTCCAAGGAGGGCAAGAGCCGTATCCTCGACCCTGAAGCCTCAGAACAGGCCGCAGCCGACACACCCGTCGAGGCTGAGGCCGAAGCCGCCGCCGAGGCAGCCGTCGAGGAGGCTGAGGCAGCCACTGCCGAGGGTGGTGAGGATGCCGCCGCCGCGTCAACAGAAGAGAGCCAGGCCTCTGAGGAGGACCGCCGCGCCGCGCATCACAAGCAGCTCAAGGCCCTCGTCCGCTCCGCAAAGTCTCTCATCAACGACGGTGAGGGCCTCAATCCTCGCAAGAAGCGTCAGCTCCGCGCCTTCATGACGGAAGCCAAGCGCGCCATCTCTTCCTCGGGCCGTGTGACCAATGCCGAAGCGTCTTCCAACGACCCCAACGCCGTCATTGACAACCTGTCAGCCATGCTCAAGGACTTCAAGCTCGACGGCACCCAAGTTGAAGCCGTTCCCGCCGAGGCCGGACAACAAGCCGAGCAGCAGCCCAAGAAGCAGTCTGAGCACAAGGAGAAGGCCGCCACCGAGACCATTACCGACCTCGTTTCCTCCAAGGAGGTCCGCAAGCAGATTGACGGGCTATCACGGGACGAGCAGAAGGCGCTGGCCAACCTGCTCCGCCGGGACGCCGAGAACCCCATTGACGAGTCCAAGCCCTACTGGACCCCCTGGGAGCCGCGCCGCTACATGGCGCCCTTCGCCTTCATCCCTCGCTACCTCGAGGTGAACCAGAACATCTGCGCCGCCGTCTACCTCCGCCACCCCGTCGCCCGCCGCGGCACGGCCGAGGTGCCCACCCCTTCCCTTACGAGACCAACCAGTTGGCCTTCAACTGGTACCTGAGGAGGCATTAAACATGCAATAATGACGGTTGCGCGGGCGAGGATGTTGCCGGGGGGAGAGAGGTAGAGGAGATGGCCGCTCCGGCGGAGAGCAGGCGGCATTGTACAACAGGATATAGAGCCCAAAAACTTGTAGGACTTGCATGTAAAAGGCTTAGATAGAGTCTTATATGTACATCATCAATGGCAGGGGGGAATGATAAATCTCTACCTCGTCAAACATTTCAGAACGGCTCTTCCCTTGATACCATCCCGTCTTGACTTGCTGCCATCGCATGTGCATTTCTCACAAATCCCGTGACAGTGTATTTGTAACATGAGGCTCCATGACTATGTCCTTAGGAGTCAATTGGTAGCACCGGACGTCAGATACATGTCAGACATATCAGTAGTGGGCTGTCACGACCGTTCACAATTACTCGTAGCACACGCATCATGGGATTAAAAGTTTAGGGAATCATCCTTTTCGAAGCGCACTGAAACTAAGCTAGCAAAGACGTCAAGGAAATGAAATGCCAAGTAAGCGAAAACACCTGTCATACCAGGCCGTCTTCGACCCCTCCTTCTCCATGACCTCATCCGAGTAAAATACAACATCGAGGGGGTGATTTGCTAGACATAAGCGGGCTGCTTCTATCGTCACGACGCAGCGGTACCATCTGTCTACCTTGATCGTGCGTCCGCAGCTGGAAGAAAGGAGGCTGATTCAGCACCAGGAGACAGGAGTATCTAGGCGTGGTGTCGTAGATTATAAAGCCCTATTCCGAGTGGCAAGTCCTTTCCGAAAAGAAATGAATCCACGAAGATACTCTGCTAGCGCAAGTGTGTGTCCCACCGACCAAATCAAGTCTCTCCCCGAGGTCCTACTCAACCGAGCCCGCCGTAAAAAGACGGGCCACGACCAGTAGAGCTGCAAAAGTGTTCCGTGAAACGCCTCATCGCCAGAATCAAGCCTCGCGGAAGCAATGACTCCTCGTATTTGTTTCTTTCGCGTTTTCCCCTCCTTAGTCTGCGTCAAGGCCCCCCCTTGCGTGCCTGCTTCGTAAAGACTTTTGGTGATGTTGGGATTCCGTATGTGATTAGATGAGGGGTTGGTTGATTAAAAGAGGTCCAGAGAAAAGGGGTGATAAGAAAGAACAAGAAGAGAATCGAGACAAAGAGACGCGTTGTGCTGGTATTGTATGGGCATCATTGGTACTTAGACGTGGGTCGTAGAAAGGAGAGAATGCGGACAATGTGTGGCGTCGAAAGACCGAGGATGTGGCATCTTAACGAAGCGAGAAGCCCTTCCGCTTGCCTTCCTTCTCGATGGGCCGACCGCTCTCGACTCTTTGCTTCTTCTCTTCGAGCTCCATGCGTTGGCGCTCCAACTGCTCCTTCATCTCTCTGTGGCGAGAGTAGAGCTCTTCTTCGCTCTGCTTCAGCTTGCTCTCCTTCTCGGCGACCTTCTGTTGGAAGACCATCTTCATCTCGGCCTCCATCTTGGCGAGCTTCTGCTCGTGCAGGGCGCGCTCCTCCTCCTGCTTGACGGCAGGGTTGACCTCCTTGAAAACGCTGGGGTCTTGCGACACACCCATGCCGATGAGCTTGTCGGTACGGTAGTTCTCGTACAGGCTGTTGTTGGTGTGCTCCTTGAGCTCCTCCATGTGGGTACGGATGAGCATCTGGCGGAGCTTGACGAAGTCGCAGTGCTCCTCATTGTCGACCTCAATGACACCCCAGGGGTAGCTACGTCCGCGGACCTTGCGGCCGTCGGCGTTGGTGATCTCGTTGGTAGCACCGACCACAGCGAAAGGAACCTTAGACATGATCTCATTGTTCTCGGCAATGGTCTCCTCGTCGTCGAGCTCGTAGCGCGGGCCCTCGAAGATCTGGATATCGTGGTACTTGATGTCGGAAAGAATCTGATGGCTGGTCAGCAAGTGCAATTGGAAGGGTGTCGAATTGAACATACTCTGGACTTGAAGTTGGCAATCTCCTCATCGGTGAGGGTATCAGCCTTGGCAATGACGGGGATGAGGTTAACCTTGGTGTGAAGGCGACGCATGACCTCGATGTCGAGAGGCTTCAGGGAGTGGCCAGTCGGCTGAATGAAGAAGACGCAGGCATGGATACGGTTGTCCACAATGTTCATGCGGTTGACCTTGTTCTCGGCGTCGAGGTAAGCGTCGTAACGCTGCTCAATGTTGTCGACAATCGGGCGCCAGGACTCGTCATTGTTAACAAAGTCACCGAAGCCAGGGGTGTCGACGACGGTCAAGCGGAGACGAACGCCAGCCTCCTCGATGTCGGCGCTGATGGATTGGATCTGGACAGTCTTGGGAAGGATGTCGAGGCTAGGTCCCTTGCGCTCCTTGGGAGGATACAGGGAGGTGTTGAAGAGGGTGTTGACGAGGGTTGACTTTCCAAGTCCGGATTCACCTAGAGATTGAGTCCGTCAGCACTTGTTCTCGCCTTCTGGGTATAGAAACCAAAACTTACCAACAACCATCACGTTGAAGTTGAAGCCCTTGCGGACACTCTTGCGGTGCCATTGGTTAGGCAGGTTGGCAAAGCCGACATAGCCAGTTAGCTTGCGGCGAACAATGTTCCTAAGATCACTGGAAGGGGCCGAGGGGGCACCACCAGCTTGATAGGGGTCAGAAACGGGCTCGTCCGCAGGAGGCGAAGTGGGCGCCCGCGAGGGCGGCGGGAGGTGGCAGGAGAACCTTCAGAGGCTGTTTGAGCAATTACGTCAGCAAATTTGATGTCATACACAATGCGTGTGGTCAGTATGCAATGGCAAGGCAGAGGCGAGAGGAACTTCTGACATGCTGGCGGGCCGTTTGATAGAGCTTCGTCCACATTGGCAGTCGAATTGGGGTCCTTGGGCTCCCGGGTGGGTTCCGGTCGAGGCCGTTTGGAAGGTTGAGCATTGTGCCGGGTGTTTTGATAAAGATCCTCGTATGATATCGGGTTGTTGGGCCCAATCTTGGGTGCACCGTCCACGTCAAGCAAGCTCTTGTAGCGGCGAACAGTGACAGTCGAGTCGGAGGAAGCTTTCGAGACAGACCTGGCGTTTTCCTTGGCTTGTCCCATGACCATGTCGACGGTTGCCGGCAGGCTGCTGTATCTCCTGGAGGCATCATATGCGGTGGACTTGTCGAGCTGGACGCTCCTGGTGCGTGCCTTGACGTGTTCAACCAATTTGATGGCCATTGTGGATGTTGTGTTGTGTTGATCTGAGTGGTGCAGGGCGATATCTCTGGCCTATTTCATAAAGGACCAAAAAAAAGGAGAACCCAAGAAACGGTAAATTGGTGGAACGAATGTGGGCGTGTAACGAGAGATGCGTTGATGTCGAGAGGAGAAATCCGGAACGTGGCTCGGGACGAGAAGAACAACGATACAAGACCTCAGACGGACATTGCCTGCCTGTTGGAGGGTCCCGGATTCCTCTCGCCTTGCCCTGCCTTGCCTTGCCTTGCCTTGCCATGGTCTCATGAAGGGTATCATCGGGGGAAGGTGCTTACCCATATCGAAAATCGTCGAGGATTGTTAATTTGAAGAAGGAATTGATCCAAAGGAAAGATCTAGAGAGCGCAGAGAAGGAGTTAGCTATGCCGTGATGTAGATGTGGCAGTGTTGCTGACGTCGAGTGCCGTCAGGGAGGTGCGGTGGAAAGGGAGACTCTTGTGGACAATGGGAAGAGGCGATGGGATGGGAGCGACTGCGCGACGACGGCAGGATCGAACCAGATGGCCGAGCAAGTGACAGGAACGATGTTTGGGTCCCTCTCTTGTTTCCTCGGCCGGTTCATACATGAGAGGAGAAATGGGCGGGAATCGGGATAGACTCGTGGGAAGAAAGGACGTACGTACCTGGACGTCTACAAAGCAGTCGCGTGTCAAGGAGCGTCGCAGGTGGGTAACGAACGAGAGAAAGGGAGGAGAGAGTGGGCGAAGAAAAATGGTCTGGCGATAGACGATTGGGAGACCTCACGGTTCCGAAGAAGTGATGCTGGAAATGCTCGAGGCAGTATGGATGATGGGTCGAAGGGAAGAAAGATTCACAACCTCGGGGTAGAGAGAGAGTGCGATGGTTGTGAAGTCGAAGTCGAGGGAGGTAGGTTCTCGATGAACATACGTTTTGGGTGGGAAGGGGAAATTTGGGGTGCGACGGGCAAGGGAAAGGTTTGGCTGTGTGACCCCGTTTCCTGACGACTGTGCTCCCTTTTTCCTCGTCCCTGCCCGGGTTGGCTGCTGCACCTGGCCTGTCGTATGTCTGCACTCTGTTGCACCCTGCTGCACCGCGTGGTGGTGGTCTCTGCACTGGACTTGCTGGACTTGCAGGGCGGACTGGGAAGGGACGGAATACCTAGGTAGGGAATGGAAGGGGTCAAGTCTCTGCTGGCCCGGAGCTTGCTGCCACGGTACCTCTACTACAGGGGACCAGCATGCGCTGTGATGCCCTACGGCGCTGGGCCTGAGGTGCGTGTGCCTGGCCGGCCATCTGTTAGGTGCTGCCGCTGGCTACTGGTGCTGGATGTTGGAGCATGGCCGGACGGGAGAGGCACGTTGCTGTCCCCTTCCTCTCCAACTCTCTTTCTCTCTCTATCTCTACCTACCGTCCACTGCCAACGAGCAAAAGGGGGTTGAAATGCGCTAATCCCGGGTAGGCTAGCTCGACTCGTGTGGATTCTCGGTAAGGATTGTGGGTGGATCCAGAGAATTAGAGACCGGGGCTTCGCTGAACGGCGAGTCCTCATTGGTCAGAGGCCGGTGGTCGTAATGAAGCACAAGGAAAAAAAAAAAACCGCCAAAGGAGGACCTGGAGATTGGGGAATAACTTGGCTTTCGACGAACGGGGGAGATTTGCAACCTGGTTGAGCCAAGCTCGCGTCCAACTTTTTTTTTCCTTCTCACCCATTTGGTACGAACGCACTTGGTCTCTGTCCACTGGCTCTCAGCTTCTGTTGATGTGCCACTGTTGATCTGCCACTGTGAAGAGCAGCTCTGTTGGACGAATCAGGCCCCCTCCCACGGGCCACGGCGTGGAAGGAGGACCCCTTATTCATGCCCGATGCTTGGGTGGCCTGTGGTTGCTTGTCTTGCTGGCATCCGCTCCACCAAAAAGCAAAGTACGGTTTCCCCCCCCCCAAGTACCGTTGTGGAAAAAGGGTTAACTGTTTGCCGGTGATGGGTGGACAGCTCGAAACAAGAGAAACAATCTGGGGCGTTTTTTGCAGGCCAGCGCGCCTGTTCTTAGTGTATCTCTAGACCCTGCCGTATGCCACGCCTCGCATCTCCTCGCTCTCTGTCCTCAGAGGCCCAGGAAGGGTCGCGTCACCTGTCGCGACAATGACAGGTGTCCGTCCGGTGGGGAGTGAAACAAGTCAAGTTTTTTTGTTGTCAGTGCCGTACCTATTCTTGACTGTTTCCTATGTGCATTAAGGTAATGTCAACAATGCAAGCAAGTTGCAAAGTTTCGTAAGTACATAGGTATTCGGGCCTCCCACATCCAAACTTGGGACGAATATGAGACTGTCAGCTATTGCTTAACTCTGCTGTACTCGCGCAGATCCTGTTCAAGCATCTGGCGGGCCCCGGCGGCGAAATGACACAGGGGACAGGACAGACAGACAGCCAAAGCTCCGAGTAGGCGTTCGCGACCCTTCCTGTTTGACTCGGAGCGACTGCATTGAGGGTCGGGAAGGCAGCAACCCGGCTTTCAATTTCCAGTCTCACCCATGATCCATGAGACGAAGGAAGCAGAAAGGCTCGGAGATCTTGTGCCCAGAACCCAGAACACCACCAAAACAAGCATCCGCCAGGGATCGACACGGTCTGGCCTAGCAATGGCATGGACTGCCGTGGGTACCGCCGGCGAGTGAAGTGTGGATTGAGATGAAATGGAGACGTGGGAAATGGCAGACAAGCGCTCTATCCAGACCCCGTGCGTGTCGTACTGATCCCCTGCCTGCACAGATTGCCTCGCGCCTCAGGCTATCAACCACCTCAGGTCTGTCTGTGGTGTGCGGTAGGTACATGATAAGTTATCTAGTGTACTCGGCGGGGCAAGGGACACGACATGGACCCCAAGCGAGGAACGGGAAAAAACACATTCCGACACACGGACCCTTTCCTGACACTGACTTCACAGGTGCACCCCAGCTTTCTTCCTCGTTTCCCCCTCTGGTATGCCAAATGCTTTTTGCTGCAAGCTTCACACCCCCTTCATCCCTCCTGGCCACTTTTGCCTGCAGCAGACCCCGTGGACCTGCAGGAGTAGTCCCTGGGCCGGGGGCCACACCCGAATGCTCTCCTTCGCTGATTTCCCTTCGGGATGTGCCAGTCACTTGCCCCGAAGTAAACCTGGAGCCACACAGCACTCGCTCCTCTGCCGAAAGCTGCCCCCCGCCGCTAGCCTAGCTGTCTTCAGTGTACTAGTGTGCTACCCATACTATAGTATGTAAGCGATTCTGCTGGGCCCTCAAGACATATCTCCCTACGGCCACTGCGAGCCATCCACATCATCGTCTCCCTCGTGATGCTTCCCATTCGGAGGGGCATTTGGCGATGCTCGCAGGTACGAGGTCGTGCTGCAGACAACCCACCCTGTCAAAAACCTTTGAACGCTGCAGATGGCTTATCCAGCACGAAGCAGGGCCCACCTTTTGGTCCCATGAGTGTTGGCCGCCTGCTTTGTCACTGCCATTCCTGCCATACCTGCCGCCATACGAACCAACTGCAGCCCAACCGACGACCAAACCGTCCAACGACTGCAGTGGTGCCTGTCGAGTGACTGGAATTCGGGCCGTGGACATACCACAAGCCTAGGTAGATAAGAAACTTCATGCAGGTTTGGCAGCCAACCTTTCCGTGTCTCGGGTCTCACTGTCTTGCCCAGACCCCTTGCCTCCCTCCAACAATTGGCTGATCGGTTGAGTGCAGATTCCGTGGTAATGGAAATGGCATCAACAAACAAGAAACCACAAATCCGCGGTTGCTGCTTGGTTCGTCCGCCTGCAAACACTATCGAAGGCCGCCACTTTAATCTGCCAGCGCAAGCCACCTCTTGGTTTGTTGCGATCCAAGTCGCCTCTCTTCTTCTGCTTCGCTGCCGAATCATCTTTGCCCTCTCTTCGTTGATATTGCTCTTCATCACATACTCCCTTTACCTGTTTCACACGGACGATACAAGTGCAGCAAATACGCACCCCAACCCCACGCTGCCAACCGGTACAAAGCTGGGCCCTGGCACCGGACTGTCATTCTTTCCATCCTCAGTCCAGGTATCCGTACATATCTGTGCCCGCCGTTCCCAGCACGAATCTCATATAAACGTGTGGTTGAGCGAGGCCAATATGTGTTGTGGAGAAGTCATGGAAACACTACCTCGGCCATTTCTGGTACGTTACGATGTGCCGCCGTATCTCAATGTCCGAGGGCAGCAACGAATTGCCGGCCCAGACCTACGAGACGGCATCGACTGAAGTTTTCAAGGACATGACGTTGTCATCCACGATGATCAGCTTGTACGAGCAAACGAGTCCAGGTATTCCATAGCAAGGATACTAGGGTAGAAGCTGGGAAGAGGTTCTGCCAATACTCGATGACGGCTATTACGACGTCAATGCTCGAGATCATGTTCTTCCCATTCTCGCACCTGAATAACCACCTGGTCGCTGACGAAGCCAGAAATTCTTGAAAAGCAGTGATCCATCAAAAGGGCTTTGCGAGAAGTCCTCCACGAACGGACAATGCTGATCGTCCGGCTTCGGTATATGGGATGATTTTGATGTCCTCAATGTGCCAGATACATTTCCAATGCGTGGTCCATTGACTTGTTTGACATTCGCCAGCTCTGGGTAGGAGCTCTTCACCGAGAACTGCTTACCACGGTCATGTCGCAAGCTGTGTCTCCGACACCTCCGGTGGCTACGCTCTTGCCCTTCAGCTCCTCAGGTCTGCATGTGGTCAGCCATGTTCAGGACTGATCCTCGTCAAACTCGTTCTTCCGTAGGCTCGAGAGTGCGAATACTACTTCCCGAAATCGTCCAAGCCATGGATTTTGGAGATAAAGGCGTGGTTTGCGATCCGCTAACGAGAATGACTTTCTTTATAGACCGCGTTTTTGTCCCGCATGCGACCTGGATAAGCCACCTGCCGCTTTCGTGGTCTCGCTAAATGCACTATACAGTCACATTATGTACGACA